TTTCGTGTGGGTGCAGATGCCACACCAAGGGGTCTGGGATGTGTCTGAAAGGTGTGGTGAGAGTGATGTGTCCTTGCACCTGCGAAGGCTCCTGGGCCATGCAGAGCGTCAGGTGTCATGGGGGTGAGGGGTCAGGAAAGTGTCTGCACCACCGTGGGCAGAGGGGAAGGTCTGTGTCTGGAAGGTTGAGAAGTGAGACCTGGAGAAGGTCCGGCCACGGGGTGGTAGACAAAGTAGCCTCCGCTGTGGGCCGGCCCGGTGGCGCACTGGAGAGTGCACCGCTTGAGAGCGCGTTGGCGCTCCCGCTGAGGGTTCGGATCCCATGTGGTGACCGGTTCCCACTCACTGGCTGAGCGTGGCGCGGGTGCAACACCGAGGGTTGCGATTCCGTTGCTGGTCCCCAGTACGGGCACGACACCGAGGGTTGCGATCCCGTTACCAGTCAGTAAAAAAGACAAAAAGGAAAAAAAAGAAAAGAAAAACGTAGCCTCGGCTGTGGGTGATGCTGGGAGTGTGGTCGTGTTGTGGAGAAGGAAGAAAGGGTCATTGTCCAGTGAGCAGGTGCCAGCCTCAGGAGGCTCCTCAACACGATGAAGGTTTGGCTCCTCAGCCATGCTGGCTGCCATGATGGACCTCACAGGTGGGGAAGGTTTCCATCACGATAGACTGTTGCACTGGACGGTGCTGGTGTGGGCAGGTCATGGGGCCCAAGACAGGAGCCCCCCTCGCCTCTGGGACTTGGGGAGGGAGACGGCAACTGCCAAACCAGTTCCAAGTCTGTTACTGGTTTTTTACTTCGTAAAATGTTTCAGTTTTTCTGTTTTTACATTTTTTATTAGAAATTATTCTTTTAGTGTTGATGAAATGAAAGTTTATATTTCTGCATCTAGGTAGTTATGTGTCGTGAGGAAATTGCTCTGGACTGTTTGGAACCAGTGTGCACCTGGTCTGTGCAGTTGAACCTCTGGGTCAGCTTTGAAGTTTGACTGATGACACCGAAGACACAGACCCAGATCTGACGGGCAGTCGTGTTCTCCAGTACCTCAGGGCACATGAGGGTGTGCTTGTACAGTTTGCTTTAATAAGGGCAGCATCTTGTCAATTTCAGTGTCACGTTTTCTCTCACCCTCTGACGTACAGCTCAGTCAGGTCTTCATTGTCAGCAGTACGTGAGTGGAACCACGGTTACTGTAGGAGGTCTGATTTTCTAGTTTTAATGTTGTCATTTATATTTCTGCACATTATGGTGAGTTAAGACTCAATGAAGAGGCCGGCCCGTGGCTCACCTGGCAGAGTGTGGTGCTGATAACACAAAGGCCACGGGCTCGGATCCTATGTAGGGATGGCCGGTTCGCTCACTGGCTGAGCGTGGTGCTGACAACACCAAGTCAAGGGTTGAGATCCCCTTACCGGTCATCTTTAAAAAAAAAAAGAAAAAAGACTCAATGAAGAGGTGTTGACTAGACTTGGGGTGTGTGAGCCTCAGCTCAGGAGGGGTGCCAGGAGGAGGGGCTTCAGGGCTGCCACTGCAGTGATCACCCGGGGGGGTCTGGGCAGTCAGGGGCCCTGCCTTCGTTTACCTACAAGACACAAGAGGTCCCTTTTCCTGCATCCATCCATTCACGGCACAGACATACACACCAGGGTGCATGGGCATCCCCGGGGACATGTGTCCTCAAGCACAGGCCATGTGGCCCTGACCCTGCATGAGTGAGGATGGGTGATCACTGGCCACCTGCGCCAAGTGGTCCCACCTTCAGAGTCCTGTCAGCCTCTCCTGGAGCTCCACTATGCCAGGGTCAGATAGACACTGGGGCCACACGAGCCCACCCAACGCACCCCTCCCCGGCCTCCCCGTCTCAGGAGCTCGTGGCCGTCCTCCACCATTTTCTCCGTGGCTTAAACCTCCAAGCTGTCTCTTCCTTGTCCAGGCCATCGGCCGTGTCCCTCATCCATCCTCAGGACCGGGGACAGGACAGAAGTGCACAGAGCTGTCAGCAGGCAGAGCAAGCAGGGGTGCGGCCACCCTTCCCGCAGACGCTGCACTGACTTCTGCCCAGGCTGTGCCACAGCCTTGCCGCCACCTGACACCCCAGGCTTGGTCTGCCGGTGCGGGCGTCAGGAGCTGCATCTCCCTGGGCTTTTGATTTGCATTCCCAGTTATTGACGAAGTGAAGCGCTTGAAATATGCTCGTTTGAAATTTCTCCTTGGCGGAGCTCTTTTCGTTGTCCAGAGCAGGAGGTGGCGAAGTGTCGGTGAAAGAGCAGGTGCGGACCGAAGCTCGCGTGGGTGACCGCGGTGAGCAGCCCGCAGGGCCGCGGGCTCAGTTCCACGCCAGGTGTGCCGCAGGCATCTCCTCCAGCGCAGGGCTTTCTCCCTGGCTGGGGCCTTCAGGGACCCAGTGTCCCTGTTTCTAATGAAGATGCCATTCGTCCTCTCCTTCATGGTTCGCGCTTGCCTCCCTGTTTCGTGGGTGCTTTCCTCACCCGACGCCGTGAAGACACTCTCTCTGTGGAGTCTTCTAGAGGTTTGAGAGTTTGCCCTCGCGTGCGGCCCTCATCCACCCGGACCGGCTGTTTGGGGGATAGGGGCAGGAGGTGCCTGCTACAGAGGAGTTTGGTTTTATCTTTTTCCTGTTTCACCACTAAGAATGATGCTTGTTGTCTTTTTTTAATTGTAAAATACACTTTTTATTGAGGTATGGTTTACACACACCAAAGCTCACTGGCGCTGTTGTGCACTTCAGTGACTTTTGACCACCTCTCTGGTCTCGTGTCCATGCGGGGCTCCCTCATGCCCCTCGGTGGCCCGTCCCTGCCTGGCCCCTCATGGACACCCAGCCTGCTTCCTTGTACCAGTTCTGCCTTTTCCAGAATTCTGCGTCCCGTGGGAATGTGCACCATGTGATCTGCCGTGTCTGGCTGTGTGCACGTCCTTCCAAGCTCATTTTAAGTGCTGGGAGCACTCGCTGCAGGATGGCCCACGTTCTTATCCACTCACTGTGGGTGGCATCATGGTGAGCCTTCACGTGCAGGTCTTTGGGTGGGCGTGTGTGAGTGAGTGCTTTTCTAAATAGAGAGCTTCTGTTTGCTTAAATTTCCTTTTGTTCTTAGATTGATAAGAGTATTTTCTTAAAATTATGAATGTGTAATGACTTTTATGCATCTATTGGAAGAGCATGTGGTTTTTCTCCTTTTACATTTGTCATAAATTACATTTTTTCCCTTGTATGAAGCCCACCTTGTATTCTGGGGATAAACTAATTTGGTCACGAATGATTCCCCTTTTCACGCATTGCTGGATAAGGGGGGCTAACATCTTGCGTGGGGCTTCACATTTGTGCTCTCCAGGGAGGCTGGCCTGGGTGTCTGCTCCTGGTCCTGACCTTTCGGGGTCTGCACAGGGGGTGGTTTTGTGGGATGTTGGGAGGTTTCTGTTCTGTCCGCTGAGAGGGCTGGTGTGGAGCTCACAGAGGAGCCTCCCTTGGAACTCGCCTAGGCCTCGAGTCTCCTTTGAAGCGGGTGTGGAGAATCTTTGTTCAGCTTCCCTAATCGTTGTAGAACTGTTTGGGTCTCCTCAACTTGCCTCCATTCTGTCAGGTGTTTTTATAGGAATTTATCGGTTTCATGCAAACTTCCACTTTTGTTGGCCACCATCGCTCCTTCTCCTTTGCTCCGTGCTGCCTTCTCAGTTCCCAGCCCGCCCCCCCCCCGATGTGGCCATGGGCTTGTGCTCCGCAGCGTTTGTCGCTGGTGTCCGCGTGCACCTTGCTCGCCATTGTCTGTTGTGGTTGTTGGTCTCAGAATGCAGGCCCAAGGACTCATGGCAAGAGGCCCTAGCTGTGCCATCCAGTACTGGGACCACTGGTCACACCTAGTAAAGGTTAAGTCCAGTTAAAAGCTCAGTGCCTCAGTCACATGAGCACACGTCGAGTGCCCAGCAGCCCCGTGGGCCATGGGCTGCGGGAGGCCCCGGACGGCCCTGCCCCGTCCTCCTCGTCCACGGGCTGCTCTCCTCCCCGACGCCGCTGGAGGGTGCTTTCCTCTCAGCCTCCCATCTCTGCTGTAGAGGTTACCTCCGCTGCAAAGACAGTTAATAAGTCAGTCATGGAAAAGCCCGAAGAGTAAAAATGACTTAGAATGGGTATAAGATGAGCCTCGTGTAGTTGTGTGTTACGTGCAGTCGTTTCCAGGTTGCATTTATCCCCATCGTCAAACCACCGTCTGCAGCCCCCACGCTTGCCCAAGCTTGGCTCTGTTGGCTTTTCCAGGCCCTTCTCCAGCCACGCGTGTTCCCACCTCAGCACAGGGGAGGACAGTGAGGCTCCCCTGGCCCCTGACAAGAATACTGTGCTCACCACAGGCCCCTGTCCTTGTCCCAACAGCCCCAGCTCTGGCGCGGGGCCCTCAGTGCACGCTCACTGTGCCAGGGGCACGCCATGACTGGGTGGGTGTGAGGACGCAGGTGCACGCCACGGAGCTGACCCACGGGTGTGCTACTTGCCGCCCTTCCCCTGAGGCCCCGCCCCCACAGGTCACCCTGCTGGGCTTCTGCGGACCCTCCTCCTGCCTTCTTGGGCACCAAAGCAGCGTGACAGAGCCCCCCACTCCCCACGCCCTGGAGCTGCATCTCCGCCCTGTCCTTTCCAATGCCCTGGGCTGGGCCTGGGCCTCAGGGACAACAGATGGCCTGCAAGACCTGCCTGGTGTCTGCGGAGAGCCTGGTTCTCCAATATTAATAATTCCTACTTTTCTCACAACAATTTCTGGAACTTAAGACGAGTGAACAGATACGATGTTCATGGTGGGGAGAAGGGAAAGGGAGGTGGGAAAGGAGGACTTGGTAAAGGGACACGAAAGTCAACTACGCTGTATATGGATAAATTTTTAAAATGGAAATTTAAAAAAGTGGAAAAACAAAATAATTCCTGCTTTTCTTTTGTTGTTTAGAGCAAGTAAATGAACGGACCTGTTTAACCCAGCACGGCTCCGAGCTGCAGCGGGTCTGGGAGCCGGGACGGCCCGTCCCCGTCCCTGGCGCGTGACACCTGCCTTTGCTTCTCCACAGGCTTCACGATGTAGCGGGGACTCCAGGCCACCACTCACAGGTACATGCAGTTAAGCTGATTTTTCGTCTCTTTCACTGTCTGTGGGTTGGTGCACTTGACCTTGAGTTTAGCCGCAGAAGAAGCCAGTGGTCTCTGGCATCACTGGTGTGTCCTCGCATTTTTCCCCTGGCTGGTGTGTCTGACTGGCTCTGCCACTGTGTGACTGTGTGCAATCGCACGTCCACAACAGGGCATGAGGTAACAGGTGCCGTTTCTGTGCCAGAAAATGGAAAGAGAGCAGGGGCCAGCAGGAAGGTGCAGGAGCCAGCCAGAGTGCAGAGAGAGGAGGGGGTGTCGCGTCCGAGTGCTGGCCTGAAGCCCACATGCCCCGACCGGAGGAGAGACTCGCAGCCGCCTAGAGGAGGTGAGGCCAGGCACTGTCAGGTGGGAGGACGGGCGAGGATTCCTGTCTCACTGCTCACACCCCTGGCTGTCGAGGCTCCCTGGCTGCCATGGTCTGCAGGCCTGAAGCCGCATGTCTCTCTCTGCTCTCTGGTTTGTTGGGCGCTGCACGTGGGTGGCCTGTTCCATGGGCTTTCCTTGTCTCGTGACGGGGACAGTGTTGAGGATCTGCCGTCCCACCTGTGAGATCAGCTGGGTGTCTCCTGGTGGCGCTCTCGGCAGGAAGCTCCCAGGGCTGTCCCACGGAGGTGTCCCTTGGAGGCACAGCTGATTCCTTGACTGTGGCCGCTGGGTTACGGGGAGGTCCAGAAGGTCTCCTCAGCCTGCAGTCAGCTTTTCCCTTTGTGGTGAGGAGGGTTTGGTGGGAAATGTGCTGAGACTTCATGAACAGTCTCTTCCTCCAGGGTCTCACTGTTCAGTGTCCACTGACGGCTCCTGAATGAATCACTGAGAGGTGTAGTAAACTGGTGACTTTCTAATCCGTCGTTTCTTTCACCTTCTTGTGCAAGGAGGAGGGTTCCCTTGCTCATCGACCTCATGTGGACGCCCGGGCTCCTGTAATGTTCAGTTGATTATAATCTGTGCTTCTCTTGATGTCTGGTTGTCCCAGATGTGACCACTGGAGCCCTTTACACTGTCCCCATGTCCTGACATCCCCGCCCAATTTCTGAGCTTCACGCTGAGTGCTCCCTGCCCAGACACAGCTCCGAGGACCCTGTTCCTCTTTGCAGACGGCAGTGTGGAGAGACCAGGACCTGGCACAGTGTGTATGGTGCTGCCGAGGAGTGGTCACGTCCAGGCCTGCACCAACAGAGAGCCAGCAGGGGCGCATGAAGCCTGCACATGCCACCTGCCAAGCACAGCTGTGGCAGCAGCTCCAGCTCTGCTCCAGCACTCCAGGGCGTGTCCTCACCACTCCCCTTCCCTGTGTCTGGAACTCCCCCGTCCTGGGTACACGCCACAGCTCAGCCCCAGGGGAGGAGGATGGCAGCTCTGGCTTCTCGAGGTCTTTCTGTGACACAGGGAGGCAGAGTGGGACAGCAGCATGAAGGTGATGGCCTGGCTGTTTCGCTGCAGGGGGAGGCCGTGTCACAGCTGAGTGGCAGCTGGTGTGTCTGGAGCCCAACAGAGAGCTCTGGGCTGGACACACTTCTGGCAGTGGCAGTTGTGCGGCGGAGGTGACATGGTGGACACAGGAGCTTAGGGCCCCTGACCTTCTGGGCCCATGAGTGAAAAGTCTGCACCTGCTGCCCCTTCCACCAAAGACATGGGGCGTGAAGGCGGAGCATGTGAGCAGTGAGGTGGCTGTCGCTGCCTTGGGTCTCAGCTACAGCTCCGCCTACAAATGGCAGGATCCAGTTCAAACTGGTCTAAGCACCAAAGGGACTAGACCCGGCTCTCCCGCTTGGGTGTTGCAGTGACATCAGCAGTCCGGCCTCCTGCCATGGCTCTTGTTTCGTCTCGACGGCTGGCAGCCCCGTGGACGAGGGGAGTGGCCTGCAGCAGTTTCTTGCATCAGGAGCTCGTCCTCTGCCAGTGCTGCAGCCTGGTGGGCCGCCTTCCCGTGGGCAGGGCCAGGCCTCATGCCCACCCTGCCAGGCTAGGGTAGTAGTCCCTGCATCTGCACCCACAACCAGAGTGGGGAGAAGCTCCAGGAGGACACACAGCAGAGGGATGGGGTCAGGGGCACCCAAACGGGCCATGGACCCGACCCACCTAGCATTTTGTGAGGCTCAGGAGAGACGCCAGTAAAGCCATGACGGTCCCAGAGTGGACAAAGTGAAAGGGCCGCCAGCCTTGGTGCACACACATTTGCCTCTGAATCGGGTCTACAGCGTCTGAGACAGCAAGGCCTCATGCCCATGGCCCAACATCCTTGCTCCTGCCCTGGGCAGCTCTGCTTGCTCCTGCTGCCCCTGTGCTCTCACGGAGGACGGCTGCCCTCAGCGGCACCTTGGGTCAGGCCATCCGTCCTGGGCCCAGCCACCTGCACCCACCTGTGCCCACCTCCCAGCCCTGCCTCTCCCTAGCATCGTGACCCTGCTTCGCCTGCAGCCCCCACCTCTCCAGCCCTCACAGCAGAGAGAAGCCAGCACCCCAAGGGGGTGAGGGAACAGCGGTCCTCATTGGGTGCCAGACTCTCCATGGGGCCTTTGGTGGGGTCACCCCATCTATCAGGAGACTTGATGGTTCACCACGTCCTACAGATGGGGAAGTGGGACTCAGCCCGAGTGGCTTGTCCTGGGCCACCAGGACGTTGGGTGCTCTTGCCACACTGTGCTATCCCTGGGGGGCGTCATTGGGACTGAGCCTCGGGTGAGCCACATCAGGGTTCTTCAGACATTGATTAATTAACATGTTTTTCTCTTGTAGAAGCCAAAGATGTTGACCAGGAAGATCAAGCTGTGGGACATCAATGCCCACATCACCTGCCGCCTGTGCAGCGGGTACCTCATCGACGCCACCACAGTGACTGAGTGTCTGCACACCTGTACGTGCTGCCAGGATGCCACAGCACGTCGCAGCCTGCTGTGTGCTCCTCTGTTACTGAAAGCTTTTAAGTCAAGCCCAGGGGACAGCTGTACCCAGGACCAGGAATAGAGAAGCTCCCAAGGATAAGTCGGGAAAGATAGTTCAAATTAAAGATACTGTGGGTAACGTCAGTGGAGGTGAGGTGTCGCCTAGGGAAGCTAAATACAGGGAAGTCACATTATTTCTGTATAACAGCAGGTCAGGAACTGCGGTACAAAAGAATGTTCATTTCCAACAGGGAGAGATGCTTATTTTGTAAACTTCCAAATGAATTCCTTGAATTGTTCACACAGAGGCATCTGCGGGTTCACCCCTCACGCCTGACGAGTCCTGTCCTTTCTTAAGCTCCACCTCAGTTCAGGGCAGGGCTGCTGGTCGGAAGTGCCAGGAGGAGTGTGTCTGTCCATCTCAAGGAGCCTGCCGTGTCTCAGCAGGGTCTTTGAAATAAAGCAAACACTTGCAATATAAATGACTTTCGATGGCATATTTTTCACTTTAGAAAATAAGATACTTGTCAAATTTTGATAGAATTTTTACTTGAAAATTAATTGTATTTTTAGATAGTGGTGAGCATAATCTTAGATTACTTTCATTGAATTTTATCTAGTTGTACAGAGAAAATAATGTGATCTTTCAGGCCAACTTGTAAAAGTTTTAGATACTAACCCATATCCTGATGATCTCACAGCTCTTTAGCCTTTGGCAATCATCTCCTCACATTACATTTTTCTCCCTGCTTAATTCCTAAGCCCTAAGTCTGTTGAGTAAGGCAGTTGATTGGCAGTTAAAACATTTCCATTGTTTAGGAAGGCCTGAAACGCAAGGTGTATTCTTCCAGAAGCCTACAACTGTGAGGGGGTGCTAATGTGTCCTCGTGAAAGCCAGCTTAGCGCGGGCCCAGCCTAGCACAGGGTGTGAGCTGCCGTCCTGCCCTGGGCCCTCACTTTCTGCGTGAATGTCTCCTGCCCCAGTCTGCAGGAGCTGCCTGGTGAAGTACCTGGAGGAAAACAACACGTGCCCCACGTGCAGGATTGTCATTCACCAGAGCCACCCACTGCAGTACATCGGGTGAGTGCATCTGGGAGAGTGCGGGGCATTCAGAGCCGCAGCTGGTCAGCAGTCTCTCCTGGCTCTAGGCACCCTGGTGACCGCACATAGTGGCACCTGTGTCTGCTGTGCTCACCAGCCCAGGAGTCAGACCAAGGACTGCTGGGGCTGTTCCTGTAAAATTCCAGCTATACCTATTCATGGCAAGTCATTTGAGAAAACTTGAGACCAAGTTGGCTGCAGTTAAATATGACATGGAAGGCTGCCCTCGGGCCCACCTTTCTGCCATGGAACAGGTGGTCCCCAGAGGCCTCTGTTGCCCCTGCCACCCCACCTGCGGCCGGTAGCTCTTCTGCCCTGTGCTGCCTGCCTGGCCTCAGGGGGACGGGACCCACCCCTGAGCCAGCCGCCATTTCTGGGGGAGGCCTGGGGAATGACTTGACCCTAACTCCAGCCAGGGAGGGTGAGAGGCCACCCTGGTGGAGCTTGTGGTTCCCACATGGAGCTTGAAATGACTTTCAGATTTGGGGAGTCACACCCAAGGAAATGAGTGCTTCCCCTCCACAGTGGGTGGCAGAGAGACGTCTGTGTGTGCTTTTCACTTTTAAAGTTGTGGGACATATCACACACACAGTTTAGAAGCACACGAACAGCTTCAGGATTCGCAGAGGAGAGGCAGCGCCCCAGGGAACGTGTGCAGACGCCCTCCAGGTTTCCCCAAGCAGCTCAACCTGGTCTCGCCATTTCTCCAGCTTTTTGCACATGGCACCAGCATGTTTTCCATGTGCCGTGCCCTGCCCTGCTGTGTGTGTTGCTTCAGCTCACGGCGTCCCCAGGATGAGGCCTCACAGCTGGTGTGCCCTGCTGGGGGGCAGTGAACATCCAACTCACTGTGGGCCGCGTGCTGCTCCGAGCTCTCCCGCTGCTTCCTGCGTGCCCCCATCTCAGCTCGGCTGTTCCGGGCACCGAATGCCCGGCTTGGGGTAACCTGGGACTCTGCGTTCTTGGCAGTACTTGGCATTGCCCGGCTTTCAGTTCTGCTGATGTGGGAGCTCTGGAGGGCATCTCTGATGCTACCCTGGTTCTCTGCAAGCTCAGGCACCTCCAGGTATTACCTGGCCATTCGGGCTTCTCTTTCGCCCACGTCTCATGTCTCCTTCCTGCCGCTCTTTGTTTCATGTGTTCTGCTTTGGAGAAACCCTGCACATGCTCTGGGTGTGATTGTTGCAGTGTGTGTGCACGCCTCTGTCTTGGGGTGTGGTTTTGCAGAGCTCAGGGGAGGTGAGGGCAGGAGGTGGTGAGGTCTCCATGCTGGTCCAGGGCAGACAGCCTGGTGAGTCTCTGCCTCCCTCTCTCCAGGATGATGGGGTCTGGCAACCCCTCCCTCTGCTTTAGAAAGAGCCAGCGTGCAGGGCCCAGCAGGAAGTATCAAGGGCATCATGGTGCTGAAGGCCGCTGAGCTGTGTGGTGCATCTGTGTGCATGTGCCATCCACATACACACCTGAACACGCATGTCCTGTCCTCATCATGTGTGAATGTGTCCTGATGTGGGTCATGGTCAGGAGAGGCCCTGCCAGTCTGCACACCGCAGGCTGGGCTACCCCAGGCTACAGACTCTCAGTGCCTGATAGCTGCTAGAACTCAAACGTTCTTCTTGGAAATAGTGAGCAATGGTCTCGCAGGGCCTGGGTCACCTTTGGAGTGTAGTGTAACTCTGGGCCCATGGTGGCTAAATTTCTACAGGCTTTATGAAACAATCATTTGCAGTTATTTAGATATTACTAATTTGGGCACATAAGGTTTTCTTTTTAAAGAATGATGTCTGGAAATTAAAATTGATTTGAAAACTAAGAAATCCTCTAACTCTTTTTACCTTAAAAAGAAAATGATTACTTAAACGTAATTGTGATTTATGTTTAAAAATAGCAAACTGGAGTAGGAACTATATTTGAAATACTATGCTTATGTAACCTTTTCAGAAAACCTCTATAGACAGACTGTAAAGAACACAAGAAGGGCCTGATCTCATGGACTCTTCCCTACATTATTTGGAAACATTAAAGAAAAGCTTTGTGTCCAGTGGAAGTCCCACAAAGACCGGGAGGCTGCAGGAAGCCCCCAGGTGGAGAGCCAGGGTCGGTGTCGCCCGAGTGTGTGGGATGTGGGACCGTCATGGGAGAGGCCGCACTCCGCGAGTCAGCCCCGCATCCAGCAGGCGGGACCTTCGTTGCCATATGTGTCATCAGTTTTTGAAATGTTCATAAGCATTGGTCATCCGGCCGTCAGTATCAGAAACGTTCACAGGCAGCTGATTAAGTGATGCCTCACTTCAGGTCATATGCAACTTTTGGTGGTGCAAACATTTTTTCATGTGCAAACTGGGAGTAAAATTTCACTGAAACTCCAACTTTGTGATTCTGAAATTTGATATTGTCAAATAGAAAATGTACGAGAATTACAGAGGTAACGTTTCTAGCTAACTGCACTTCCTTTGTTCTTTTTCACAGTCATGACAGAACCATGCAAGATATTGTTTACAAATTGGTACCAGGCCTCCAAGAAGGTAAGTCTCCGAATGCCTCCTGCTGTCCCGTTCACGGCTCGCCCGGCAGCCTGTGCTCCTTGAGGTCTCAAGGCTCTTCCTCTGGCAGAACCTGCACCTGCTCACCTGGCAGCTCCACTGTTCTAGGGTGCGTGCGCCTCTTTTCCTGTTAGCTCTTCTTGAAACACCAGCAACCAGCAAACTTAACTATATTTAAAGTCAAGCCTCATTTAGAATTTTTTTCTAAATATTATGTAGCACAAACATTCTGAAAATAGAAATAAATTATTTAGGAAACTTCCCCCAGTTCTGAATGCTGAGATGGTTGCTGCTCTTTGTGTGGGTGGATGTGGGGAGGGACAGGAGTGGGGCCTCTGTGGGGTTCAGGCCCACGTCTGGATGGTGCCTGCTCCCAAGACTTAGGTGCTCTTTCTTTCAAAGATACAGATGTTGAGTTCATTTGGGGTTTCTCATTGTGGTATTTCAGGATAGGGTCATTTAAGATTAATTTAAGGTAAAGCTTAGCGTGTTAGGTCAGTAGCTGTGGTGCTGGCCTTTACTGTGTCACTTTGGGGATAACATTTTCAGTCTCCCTACACTGCCCTCTAACTTCATTCCCACAAGAAGAGTTGAGATTTCCTGAGTGAATGTGGACAGAGACAAGCATCAGAAGTTTTTTAGTCCTGGGAAAAGGCAAAGAGTGCCTCAAAGTAAGACTGTGAGACCTCGAGGGGTGTTTGTGGCCGAGTGCTCAGCAGGTCACACGGAGAACCCATGCGTAGTCGGTTTTGTTTTATCTGCCACTCCCCCCACCATGTCATTTCTTCTGTGAATCCATCTAAGAAATTAGCGATTTTCAATTTTTGGTTTTTGTTTTTGTTTATTTCTATCAGGATCCCAATGTCCATGCTTGGGACTGGTCCAAAGCCCCCTCTAGGTGCCCTCCTGTCTCTTTCTCCCCCTGGTGTGGGCTTGCCGAGGATGCCATGGTGTCCTCTGCACCTCCTGTGAACTGGCAGGACGGGCATTGGGATCTAGCTTGGATTCTGGTCCGTGTGTTTGGCCGGCCTACTCCTGGGTGGTCTTCCTCCTGGAGCAGGTGTAGTCCCAGCAGCTGAGGGTGGTCCACGCTTGGGGCTCCAGCCCCACCACTTCTTCCTCACCTATTGGCTGAAACTTCCTTGAAGCTGCTGCGCTCTGTGTGGTTCCCTGAGGTCCCGTTTGTGCAGGGAAGGCAGCGCATTCCACGAGACTTTCCCTCCTCTGTCTTCAGAACAGCATGTTGCTTTCCTAGCTTCTCAGGTGGGTTTAGACCACTACGTGTTCTCAGTGCATTGCGGTTGTTGTCGGTTTGAAGTCTCTTCACGTTGTTGCCTGGGCCCTCTGACAAACCCTGGTGGTCTCGCCTGGCCCCTGCGACTGGTTCAGGAGGGTGTTGGGGCCACCCTGTTTCCCTGCCGCCCCAGGTGTCCCCGGAGCACGGATGTCTCCTGTGGCAGTGCTGGCTCAGGCAGCAGTCCAGGTGCCGGCACGGAGGTCATAGGGCTCTGAGCAGGTGTTTGTCCTGCGCACCTCCACCTTCCCCACGCCACCACACACACTCATCCTTGTCCAGTGCGGCTGCTGGGACATTCAGTGGTCACAGGTCCATGCGTGCAGCACACGGCTGACAGCTGCTGCATGGCAAGCCTGACACTCTCCTCTCAGACCAGTGTGTTTTCTGTCTGGGCAAATACTCGTTTCTTTGTTTCTTTCATTTGTTGCATTCAGTCATTTGTTGCTCTTTGGAAAGATTACTCTGACTTTGAAACCCTTCACAGTGTGGCCATTTTCTGGATGAAGGCTGTCTGCAGTTTCTTTGGTTGTCTTTCTTGTCCTAACAGTGGAAAGCCCTGTGCCTGGTGCCCCAGATGGTCTGGAACACACTTTAACCGTGAAGGTGCAGAAGTGAGACAGCGTTGACCTCGAGAGTCCAGGTTCATTCATGAGAGGAGGATGCTGACGGGGTCCCCAGCCTCTCACTGACTGCCCTGTCCAGGCCCCACCACAGTGCTTCTGTCCCTGTGCAGGTGGGGTGAGAAGTGGGGTACCGTTCAGTTGTTTGCTGTTTCTTTTTGTTTCCACAACTTTAAGAAACCTGTCTTATCAGAAGCAGATCTTTATGTATAAGATTTAGTGAGTAGTTATGTTTTAACATCAGGGCACCACCTCCCCATTTTTTCTTCATTCTGTGAGCAGCCTGTATCTTTCCTGCAGCGTGACAGGGCGTGGTCAGCAGGCCCTGCCCTGTTCCTGTTACCTGATCCCGTGCCAGTCCTTCACCGATGGGCACTGAACATGCCTCTCATCTTTGCTGTGACACAAGGCGTAGCTAGTGTTCTTCCGCACACATCCGCAGATATGTCTCTTGGTTTGTTCTGGAAGCAGAGTTACAGCAAGAGTTCTTCTGCACGTGTCTGTGGATGTGTGTGTCATCTCTGTTCTGGAGCAGGGTTGCACCTGCACGCTTCTTTCTTCTTCTTGCCTTGTCACACTGGCTAGAGCAGGAGTTGGCACACGAGAGCCCACAGCCACATCAGACCTGCTGCCAGTCTTTTTATGGCTCATGAGCCAAGAATGCTTTTTACATTTTTAAGTAGTAGAAAAAAATCAAAAGAAAAATAACATGCTGTCACATGTGAAAGTGTGTGAATCGGAAGTTCGTTGTCCACAAGGATTTACTGGAACACAGGCGTGCTGGTTCATTACGTGTTTTCTGTGTTCACCCACCAATGGTAGAGTCCAGTGTTTGGGACAGACCCAGGCACGGGCTCAGGCTTTGAGTGACCTCTCTGCACACCACGAGTCTCGGCGACACAGTTGTGACTTGACAGCCTTCTGAGCACTTACCTTATCACTCCTGAGATTCTTTTTATTACCAGTGCACACTTCTCGGGTCGAAACCAGGGAAGAAGAGACAAGTGGAGTTCAAGTGTTGCACTTTTTTGCCTCGGTGAAGTTGGGATTATTTTGCTATTGAACCAGCATCGCTAGATGGCAGAGCATTGTGCTTGTCACGCATTGACACGGTAGTCACACCAAGAGGACTGGCAAGCACACCATGTCCAGACTACACACCTGTCACAATATTCCCAACACACAAGAAGACAGTGTAAAGAGAAACTGAAAATTTAAAACGAATAACTCATCACAGGAGAATTTCTTCACGAAAATGAAAAATGAAGACGAGGCTGCAAAGTAGGATTCTGATTGGCTCACTTGTTAGCCAAATAATGCTGTTTATTGGTTGTGAGTTCATTAAATCACGTTTGTTCATTAAATCAGAGAAAGTGAGCTTGTTGAAGACCATGAGCCTTGAGGTAAGAACAGGTGCTGGGGATTGAGGACGTGGGAAGCAGCACCAGTGGTCGGTTAGAAGACAAGGCACAGGGCTTCGAGTGGCCTTTCTTGGCTCAGTGTCACCAATAAGGCTCAGTAGTTGCTTCTTCAAAGAGTCAGTGCTGTTTGAGGTGACCGAAGAGTTAGCCTCTGAGAACAGTCGACCCGAGCAACCCAAGCAGCCTGCACTGGAACCTGCTTGGTGGTTTCCAACCAGCGGGACTGGGAACATGTGGCTCAGAAGACGGCGTCATTGGGCAAATTTAAAAAGCTCGTGGAAATGCATGGTGTTCGTCGCGGTGTTCATTTTGCAGAGTTGGTATTTTGCAGGAAGATTTGACCTTTGACGTGTTGTCAGTCCCGCAGTGTCGGTGTAGACTTCATCTACCCTTCCGACATCAGCTCTGTGAATTTCTGTCAGGATGAGAAGCTGGATGGCCCAGCTGTCCCAGCCCTGCAACACGTCAGTGGCTGGCCGTGGTCGAGTGCGTGTGCCCAGCTCTCCCCGCCCTGCAGCACGTCAGTGGCTGGCCGTGGTCGAGTGCGTGTGCCCAGCTCTCCCCGCCCTGCAGCACGTCAGTGGCTGGCCGTGGTCGAGTGCGTGTGTCCGTTTGCTTTTGCTTCTGTTGTTTTGAGCTAAGGGTGGAGATGGAAGGTCTTCTGAATAAGGACACTTCACCCACTATGTCGGAACCGAGTGGCTTTGGAAGTCAGCTTTCGCTGAAGACCGGCTGATGTTTTCTAATGAGCTCAGCCCAATATTAGAAGGCAAGACAACATTAGATGCAAAAGTTACAGTGGGGCAAAGTCATCTGGACCACAGCTAGCGTTGCTGGGAATGCAGTCGTGTCAGGCCGCCTCACTGTGACCCCGTGCTGTCAGAAGTTAAAGGAGAGACAAGGTCTTCGTTCCCACGCAGAGTCATGGCAGATGTGTTTTCCAAGCTCTAGCTACAGGTCCAGCAGGGTTTTTGGACCTCGATGCAGGAACTAAGGAAATTTCTCTATTTCAAAATCCGTTTACTACAGGCGAGGCACGTCCACCTGACCTTTAGTCAGAGGCGATCAATCTGCAGTTCAGTGGTGTATAAAGGCACAGTCCGACCGACATATCCAGCAGAATTTCATCAGCACCTTCTGGTGGCTGCGCTCAGAATCCTGTGCCTCTGCACCGACGTCAGTGCTCCTGTGTGACAAGACATTTCAGAGATGGGCACCAACAAGTCAAGGTGCATAGTTCTGATGATAGAGAGCACACGGTTTTAACTCCAGTTGAACCAATGTGATCCCCCCAAAGGATGGTTCTTTTCATTAGTAGGCCTGTGTTATAAAAAAGTTATATTTGATCACTGTGTGTGATCATTCCCGTATCTTGAATTTCGTCAGTAAGATAACTTGTGGAACTTTCCTCTCCTGCCGTGTAAATACCTACACAGTGTCTCAGTTTTGCACTCAGCACACACGACCTCAGGGGTTTGCCACCTGATCCTTTGCAGAAGCCTCGCTGTCCCTGGGCTGGGACTTCCACCGTGGTGTAAGCAGAAGTCGGCGAGAGCAGACATCCTGATTTTGCTCCTGACGTCGGGGAAGCCTGTCTTTGGCCACCGAGTAGGCTGTTCCCTCTGGGTTTCTCACAGACGCCCATCCTCGGGTTGAGAAGGTTTCCTCTCCTGGTTTGCTGAGAGTTTCGTCAGGGTTGGGTACTGGGTTTTGTCAGGTGCTGTTGCTGCTTCTGTTGAGATGATCATGTGGTTTCTCTTTCCCAGTTCATTGATATAATTACACTGACAGACTCTCAGCCATTTCAGTGCTACTTTTCAGTTTTTATTACGAAGTTGAGATCACATGACATGTGTGTTACGTAATCTCTTTTCACTGTGCATTGTGGAGCTTGCACCATGGCAGCAACTGTGACCTGTGTCATCATCTGTCATGGCTGCATAGTACTCCACCGAGTAGATGGCCCCTGCCCTCGCCCCAGGAGGGCCTGTGTCCCGGTGTCTTGCCTGTCAGCTCTGGCAGGAGCAGGTGGTGGTGGGCGTCTGGAACGCAGTGCTGAGCAGGATTCTGAGGCGCCGTGGCTCGTCCAGGAGTGTCTGCTGTGGCCAAGAAGGCCGGCTCGTGCGTGGCGGGGGCTGGGACCTACTGTTCGACGTGGAGCATTTAAGTTTCTGGTTTTTTCAGTAATACGGGTGGGCTTCATTGAATATCTGGATTCATGTCTCCCTTCCTTAGCATCGATTACTAGCCATAGAATTTAGGGATCCGTGATTAAGTTTTTCATATATGTTGCCAAGTTGCTTTCATGAAAAATTGTCCCAATTAATGTTCCTATACCTGTACATACCGACACTGGGCACTATTATTTTTAGTCCTTTTTAATTCTGATGGGTGAAGATTAAAGAAAATGAGAATTAAAACAAGTATTTGAAGCCAAGTTGTTTTCAACTGGGAGGTGGGGTTCCCTCTTGTGCATTGATCTGTGTGGCCTTCAGGCCATAGCCCCTTTCCAGAGACCCTGATAGCACAGCCTTAATTAATTGATCGATTGATTGATTAAAGGAAACATTCCTTTCTCAGCAGATCTCAGACCATCCCAGCTGTCCTTGAGGCTGGCATTTCCACATTTAGTTCCAGTGTTCTGCCTCCCTTGAGGTGGACCCACATACAGCTCTCCTGTCCTGGAGGCACGACCCCCCCTTCTGTGGACAGTGGGAGGTGCCAGGACAGGCCCCTGCCCTCTCAGAGCTCCTGGCTTAGAGGGGAGACAGACATGCAGATGAAGCATTACTTGGTCAGCTACACATGAGTTATTTTTCACAGAGCAACTCATAGGTTATTCGTTTGAGCAACTTAGTTTCAGACTTCTGTTGTTACCTGCTGTGGGGTCCTAGCAGTGACCGGTGTCCCTGAGTGTGAGCTTTAGTCACACCATGGGGCATCAGCTGGAAGTCAGCCAGTAGCTGCCTTTGTCTCACTGAATGGGCCTTTCCCTGAAACGTATAAGATTCCTGCCTCATCCTGCTGCTTGGCCCAGGGGGTCAGGTTGGCACCTGTGCTTGTGGAGCCTGCCCTGATCCAGCTGGCAGGGCTGTGTGCTGTACTGCTCAGGACGGGGGCTGATCGCCTTTTCAGCCGGTGGTCCAGATGAACAACGCTGTCAGTAAGGGGGAGGGTGCCTTGTTGCCGTCTTCAGTAGGAAGCCTCCGTGGGTTGGCATTTTCTGCTTCCTAGGATTCCTGCGAACTGTGAATGCTGGCCACAGGCACCTGGGGCTGTTCTTGACCACGGTGGCAGACGTGGCCTGTCTTCCAGTTGTCCTGGTCCTCCTGGTGCCTCACCCACCCTCAGACCAGTGAGAGCACTTCTGGGGTCCTGGATGGAGCCATGGGGCATCTCTGGGCTGGGGGGAGAACCATGCAGTGTGTCTGGATAGCCAGGCTCCTGATGCGCAGAATGCCGACTCAGCAGAGAGCGCCGTGGTCAGCTGCAACAGCTGCGCCTCCGTTGACGTGCGTCAAAGCCCAGGTGGCGGGTGATTGCAGGACACGCTGCAGGGCCTGCCCCAGCTCCGCCAGGTCCTCCCACAGGTGGTTGCCCCCTGCACCTGCTGCGGCAGCACTCCGTTGGTGCAGTTACAATCCAAATTGTCCTTCTGCTAGTAGCAGCCTTAAGACTGCACGATCCAAGTCCATAATTTTCTTCATGTGATGTTTGTGAACAGAATTTTAATATAATTCATGCCTATTTAAGATTAAAGGTTATGTGTTAATTTTTAATAGCGGAAATGAGAAAACAGAGGGAATTCTATCACAAGTTGGGCATGGAGGTGCCTGGAGACATCAAGGGGGAGACGTGCTCTGCAAAGCAACACTTAGACCCCCACCGGAACGGTGAGTAGCATCTCGCGCCGAGGTCAGGGCATCCTGTGTCTCAGGCCATTTCTTACAGAGCTCCCCTGCTGAGCCTGTGCTCAGGCAGTTTATGCTAGAAAGTAACAGGGCTGATGGGTGGGTGGGAAGGTCCTGATGTGACGCATTGTCCATCTCTCCTGGAGCTGAGGAGGGAGTCGTGGATGGGCGAGGTCATCAGCAGGCAGATGGGGTCCCACAGAGTGCCTGGAGGCTGGGGCCGAGAAACTGCAGAAGTAGGAGCAGAAGGTAGACTTTTGAGACTTTTAACTTTGCTTGTTTTACTGTAAAATGGCAAAGTAACAATTTGATTTTTGTGTAAATTTAATACTTAAGAATCTGTACATACCATAACAAATTATTCAAACCTTTAGGTCATTGTATTTTTCTAGTGGACCACAGATATTTCTAAGACATTTCCAGACCTCCCTGTGTGCTCCTAACAACCTGAGGACAGCTGAGGGGCCGTGGCTGCCGCTCTGGACCTCTGTGGTCCCTGACGGCATCGTGGGCTGGGAGAGCAGGGCCACGGGAGGAAATTAGGAAATGTGTCTGGGAATCACGGAACCTTGTCCCGTTTCACTTAAGGTGGAGCTTTAACTTTAACAGTTGTGTTAGGATAATGAGGTTCTAGGAGTCAGGCTGTGTCATAAGGGAGGCAGGTGTGTGCATGTCGAGCCGGCGGGGAGGCGTGTGTCCTTCCAGAGGTCTCACCTGCCGTCCTTATCCTCTGCGCCCCGCGCTCAGGGACGCTCCTGGAGCAGCTCCTTTTGACCCTTGCTGTGCTCCTCTTGGGGCAAAGTCCCCGAGAGAGTGCGTCATTGACAGCATTTCGAGTGTGCTGTGGGGTTTTGGATTTCACAACGCGTTTTCTGCTTGTGCTGAAAGGTGAAACCAAAGCGGACGACAGCGCGCACAAAGAGGCGGCTGAGGAGAAGCAGGAGGAGGACAACGACTACCACAGGAGCGACGAGCAGGTGGGCCCTAGAGATGCCTCGCTCTGCGCTGGCACCCGCAGCCCTTGCACAGAGCCCCAGCCGCCCGTGCGGCTCGGTCGCCTCCCTCTTGGCGCCTCGCGGCGTTTTTCTTTCCTTCTCTGGTTACCAAAGGCACGTGCACTCATGTAGGACCCCTGAGACGCACAGGGCCGCAGACCCCCTCGGGTGGCTCTGCAGCCCCACTCCGGGGTTCCACCGCTGATAACCGGTGCCTTTTCCGCCGGGTGCATTTCTGTGGGTGCACGAGTGCCATGCAGAAGAGGTGGCACCCAGGGCTGTGTGTGTCAGGAGGGGAGTAAAAGCGTCACGCTGGGGATCCATGTACATGGCATTCACTGTAGTACCAGATGGAAAACGAGAAACTAAATGAACACAGAGATGCTGGGGAAGAAGTTTTACTTTATACACTTCAGTGAGTCTTACAGAAGCAGAAACGTGTCTGCGGAAATGCGGGACTTGAAGTCGGGGGCACCCCAGGTGCAGTAAGCGGAATCGCCTTTTCTTCTCTGAGTCATCTGTGCTTTCCTCCCGCCGTTCCTGGGCTCCGATGGTTTGAGTGACCGAGGCATTGTCTGTTGGTGGCTTGGAAGACCCCTCCCAGAGTCACGCCTCTTAAGTCTCCTGTTGACCCGTGCACCCCGCCTCTCTCGGGTTGGGGATACTTAGAACAGCTGTTGAGGCCCACCTGGGATCTCACCGCATGCATATCTGGGGCCAGCCTAGGTGGGCTAGAGGTCCGGGTGGGTGAGTGCCCGTCGCAAGGCCTAGGGCGTCGTCCTCTGGTGCAGCTTTCTGTGGGTTGGTGGGAAACTATGTAGATATTCTCCTCTGCAGTTAATTTTTTCAGTGTTTGTTGTTACTAATTTGCCTTTTCCTTTTTATCCCAAACATGCCAAATATTTGTCTATTTTACCAGTTGCTTTTAAAAAACCACTTTTTTTGTTTTTAATTGATCGAGTATTTCATTTTCCGAAAGCATGTGTTTTGATGTTTTCTGGCTTCTTGAGTTACAACCTCTGTTCATGTGTCCTCAGTCTGTCCACACACGCAAGTCTGTGTGTCTTCTGTGCTCTGGGCTACGCTGCGCAGACTTTGATGAGTGGCGTTCTAACTGACGCTCCTTTCCAAAGAGGCTGTGGTCTCACCGTGTTACCTTTTCAGTCAGGAAGAGCGTTCTCAGATGTCCAGCGGGGGTAGCCTGTCTGGGCTGTCTGTTCTATAAGCTGCTTGCTTATGTTCTCTGCCATTTCTGTATGGGGCAGCTGGCTTCCCTAACTGAGGTCAGGAGCGCCTGCCCTTTCACAGTGCACGCTGCATCGCCACCTTCCGTTCCGTGGCTGTCTGCTTTCTTCGTGGCTCCATCATTATTCACAATTTTAAAATTTGATGTAATTAAATGTAGCAGTATTTTCTTTGGTATCCTAAGAAATTCATTTGTCTACATTTTCTTGTAAAATATTTAAAAGTTTTGCTTTTTACAATTAGGTTGTAAGCCACTGCAGTAGACTCAGTGTATAGGACTGGGGGGGAAGAGGCCTAGTTCATCCTGCTCATGGATTGACCAGTAAACTTGTCAGCAGTTGTTCAGGGCCCTGCTCACCTGGACAGCAGGGTCCTCACCTGGACAGCAGGGTCCTCACCTGGCCAGCGGGGTCCTCACCTGGCCAGCGGGGTTCTCACCTGGCCAGCGGGGTCCTCACCTGGCCAGCGGGTCCTCACCTGGACAGCAGGGTCCTCACCTGGCCAGCGGGGTCCTCACCTGGCCAGCGGGTCCTCACCTGGACAGCAGGGTCCTCACCTGGCCAGCGGGGTCCTCACCTGGCCAGCGGGTCCTCACCTGGACAGTGGGTCCTCATCCTAGTCAAAGTTCCATGCTCGCTCAGGTTCCTTCTGGTCTTCTGGTCTATTGTCTCCCCTTGTGCCAAAATCACTAATAATCTACTGAATTGCAGTTATTTAATTATTTGTCACATTAAGTTGTGATTTCTGGTAGGGCATGCATCCCCTCGTTTTTCTTCATCAAAATTGCCTTGATTAACTGTGGCCTTTTGCTCTTCCAAAAAAAAATTTTATAGTGAGCTGAGCAGCATAGATAGAGCCTTTATTACAAAAACACTGAATAAATGCATAGATTAATTGGGGAAAAGTAATGTCCTGGTGAGACCGAGTCTTCCCTCTGTGATGGGTGTTGCTTCCCGCCTGTGTAGTAGCCTCCCATCGGTGGACACCTCCGCAGCTGTCCTCGCAACTCTCATGCGTCATTGGGTACCTGATGTTCCTGGGCACCACCTGTCCCCACTGCAGACGTGATCGTTAAAAATTGCATCCCCTAATTGCTGCTGAGTTTCAGGAAGCCAGCCAACTTCTGTATAAAGATTGTCTATTTAGAGGGCGTGGTGAACTCACACTAGGGCTTTTTTCATTTGTAAGTTCCTGTGGACTTTCTAGGTGTGGGTAGATGGGTCAGCCGCAGCGTGGTCTTTTCTCGGGCACGGTGAGTGCATGTTCCTTCTGCCTGTGCCATTTGCCTATGGGTGTGTCATGGACAGTCATGTGGCCAGGCGCCCGTGTACTGTAAAAGTGACCCCTGACTGGTGAACTGCTTCTGGGCTGGGAGCACTCAAGTGGACACATAAATCCAAGGCCTCTGTGATAAGGACACGAGAAGCCACAGCTTCCCTTTCCCTGTGTATCCTGTGGGCAAGCGTGCCCTCGCAGGCTGTGACGGGAGATGGTCCTATTGTGGATGACACTACCTGGGGTGGCTCCAGCCCCCTTCCCCATGTGCACCTAGCTGGGGGGTCTGGGCAGCAACACCTGGGTGGAGAAAGGACTCATGTCAGTGACCCACTGGATGCTGCCACCGTGATGGCCCTGCCCTGTCCTCTGTCCTGCAAAGCTAAGCGAGACAGAGCCACCTCACACACCAGAGCAACGATGGCGTAGCACGGGAGGGCACTGGGCCTCATCCCTGTGAGCCTCCTATGGCTCTGTCTTTTCACCTTGTGGCCCAGACCCAGGACTGGGGGTGTGGACTGGCACTTCCACCCCGTGGCACGTGTCCCTGCAGAGGTGTCCGTATCCTCACCATGTCTGAGGCTTCCCTCCCATTTCTAGTTTGCTGAGAGTTCTTCTGAGAACGGGTGTTGGGTCTCATCAGATGCTTTTTTGTCATCTGTTGATGCAGTCACTTGATTGCTTCCCTTCAAGGTGTGAACGTAGTAACTGCGTGGGTGTGTTTTTCCATTGTGAAGCTGCCCTTGCACGCTGGGGTAAACTGAATTAGATCATGGGTTTTTTTTTTGTCTTTTTTTGTGTCCGGCAACGGATCGCAACCCTCAGTGTCGCGCCCGTACCGGACCGGGACCGGCAACGGGATCGCAACCCTCGGTGTTGCTCCCGCACCTCGCTCAGCCAGCAAGCGGGAACCGGTCTGTATGTGGGATCCGAACCCTCGGCGGGAGCGCCGCCGCACTCCCAAGTGGCGCACTGTAGCAGTGTGCCACCGGGCCGGCCCAGATCATGGTTTTAAAAGTACGCTCTGCATCTGGCTGGCTAATGTTCACTGAGAACTGTGCGTGTGTGTTCAGGCTGAGGTTGGCCTGTACTTTTCCTGTCTTCACGTGTGTCTGTGTAGCTTTGCTACCAAAGGCATGCAAGTCTTGCAGCTGGAGAATTCCACATTTCTATTGTCTGGAAGAATGTGCATGAGATTGGGACCGTCAGTTTATTGAATGTTAGTAAAACTGTCTGTAAAACCACCAGATCTTGATTAATTTTAACTATACACAGATCTTCTGTATCTTTTTTTCTCTTTATCTCCTTTAGTTCATTTATGTTTCTTATCTTTTTTAGGAAATTCTCTACTTGGACTTAAGTTGTAAACTTCTTTTGCATAAAATGGTCCCCAGAGCTCTTGTGTCTGCTTCTTGACCGTCACCACGTCTGCAGCTGTTGGTCCAGTTCTGTTCTGGGCGCCGTCCCTGTCTCCTGTCTTCTCACACTCTCTGCGGGACGGGGCGTGTCCTGCTCAGCCGCTGCTCTCCTGCTCCTCTGTCCCTTCTCCAGCCTCTTGAGTTGGACATGCATGTAGTTTCTGGCTGTACGATTTGGTTCTAAATAATTTTAAATTCTCAATATGATTTTTTTTTGACCCGTGGGTTTTCCCCCCAATTTTTTTATCATATTAAAATACAGAAAATATAAAAGTTGCTGTCTTGACAGTTTTTAGGTACACAATTCAGTGTGCTGAGTGTGTCGTGTTCACGTGGTGCAGCCACCGCCGCTGCCCGTCTCCCTAACTCTCCGTCCTCTCAAGCTGAAGCTCTGTGCCCACTCTGAGCCCTGACTCCTCTCTGCCCTGGCAGCCAGTCTTCTACTTTTCTACCTCTGTGGTTTTGACTATTCTAGGAACCTTACAAAGGTGGAAACAGACAGTATTTGTCTCGTGACTGGCTTATTTCAATTGGCATAATGTCCTCAACCTTCTGTTTATCCGTTCGCCTGTCGACGGACACTTGGGCCACTTCCACCTCCTGGCTGTTGTGAGTGATGCTGTGCCCGTGGGTGTGCGAACATCTCCTGAAGACCCTGCTGTCAGTTCTTTTGTGTATATACCCAGAAGTGGAATTGCTGGGTCATATGGTGTTTTATGTTGTTTGTTTTTGGGGATGTTTATCTGGAGGATATTTATCGCATCCTGTTCTCTGCAGCGGCCGCACCACTTGGCACTCCCATCCGTGAACGAGTGCTCCTGTCTTTCCGCGTCCTCACCAGCCCTCGTTACTTTCTGTTTTTTTATAGTAGCCATCCTAGTGGGTGTAGGGTGCTATCTCATCGTGGTTTTGATCTGCATGTCCCTAATGACTAGTGATGTTGAGCATCTTTTCATGTATTTATTGGCCTTCTGTGTATCTTCTTTGGAGAAATGTCTATTCAAGTCCTTTGCCCATTTTTTAATTTGGTTGTTTGTTTTGTTATTGGGTCATTTTTAAAAGTACGCATTGAAAATTCTAAACATCGAAACTTACTATACAGCTACAGTAATCAAGATATTGTGTTACAGGCATGAAGACAGACTGATAACTCAGTGGGATAAACTCTGGAGTCTACAAATAAACCTTTAGGGTTATGGTCAATTGGTTTTCAGCAAATGGTGCTGGGACAGTTGGACGTCCCCAAGCAGATGGATTTATGTCTCATTTCACGTACAGACTTACCCACTTAACAATTTTTTTACTTTATGATGGTGTGAAAGCGATGTGTGTCCAATAGAAACCGCACTTCAAGCATGGCTCAGTTTTTCACATTTAGTACAGTATTCAGTAAATCATATGAGATACTCAGCACTGTAGGCCTTGTGTTGGAGGTTCACGTTGCCCAACTGCAGGGTCAGGTAAGTGTTCTGAGCATGTGTAAGGCAGGCTAGGCTACCCCCACGTTCAGTAAGTTGGGTGTGTTAAATGCATTTTTTTTTCCTTTTTGTCTTTTTTACTGACCGGTAACGGGATCGCAACCCTTGGTGTCGCGCCCGCACCGCGCTCAGCCAGTGAGTGGGAACCGGTCTCCACATGGGATCCGAACTCTCGGCTGGAGCGCCGCCGTGTTCCCAAGCAGCGCACTCTCCAGTGCACCACCGGGCCGGCCCGTTAAATGCATTTTTGACTTAACGATATTTTGAACCTACAGTGGATTTGATTTATTGGGATATAACCTCATCATAAGTTGAGGAGCATCTGTGCAAAAATTAAGTCAAATTTTAAGAGCTAAAACTATAAAACTTTTTCAAGAAGACATGGGAGAAGCTCTTTAGGACCTCGGGCCTTGGGTTCTCATATTCAACACCAGAAGCACAATCCAGCAAAGGAAACAACGAACCGACTTGATCTATTGCTGCCCTTCAGAAGATACTGTTAAGAAAGTGGAAGGATAAGCCTCGGACTGGGATAAAATGTCTGCAAGTCATATTTGTGATAAAGAATTTGTATCCAGAATATATAACTCTTATACCCAAATAAGAAATAGGTAGAAGACTTGAGTCGACATTTCACCAAAGACAACACACACATGGTCAATAGTCACATGAAAAGACACTCAGCATCACCAGTCATTAGGGAAGTGTAGATCAAAACCACCACAGTATAGCACCTCATGCCTGCTAGGACAGCCACTATCCAAAAAAACAGTAACAAGTAGTGACAGGGACCTGGACAAGTGGGAACCCTCACGTGCCACTGGTGGGAATTCAAAATAGTGCAGCCACTTTGGGAAATAGTTTGGCGCTATCTTAAAGAGTTAAATTTAAATTTACCATACAGCCCAGCAATTCTACTTCTGCATGTCTACCCAAGAGAAGTGGAAACATAGGTCCACACAAAGATGGTTACACAAGCGCGCATAGCACCATTGTTGGTAGCAGCCGAACCTAGAACAGCCCAAATGTTCATCGGCTGAGGAATCAATAAACAAAACCTGACACGTGCACACAGTGAAAACTAGTCAGCGGTGAGAAAGGAGCGAGCCGCGGAGGCTGCCGCGGTGGAGACGCGCCTCGGAGTCTCGTGCTACGTGAGGGAGCCAGTGCGAAGGACTGTGGCCACAGCCCAGCTGTAGGCCGGTGGGGCTGTCGGGGTGGTCGGGCGCTGTGGGGACAGATGCACCGCTCTAAATTCACTGAAAATTATTGAATTGTATACTTAAAAAGAGGTGCATATAAAGTATACCTTGATAAACTTGCTAAAAAATTACAATCATGTCCGTAGTTTAGTGTGTTTAAGCAGATAACACATTCATATAGTCCAAAGATTAGTGTTATATAGAAGGTCTAAATTTCGCTGTCCTTGTCACTGCCCCAGCCTCTGTGTTGAGAACCACTTTGTGACTGCTTCCTGTACGCATGCAAATCCCAGCAAAAATGAACATACTTTATTTCCCCCTTTTCTGACACAAGAAGAGAGCCTGTGCCTCTGGTTTCCTGGGGCGGCAGAGCCTGAGGGCTCCAGGACGGTGCCCTGGGGTCTCTGCTGCCCTGGGGGGTGGGGAGGTCTGTGCCTGAGTGCCTTCCTGGTGGGCATGGGGCTCTCCCGCCGGTGCTGCCGCAGACCTGCATGTTGCAGACCAGTGATTCCTCACCTGGCTTCATGTGGTCTGCACGGCCCTGCTCAGGCGTCTCCTGGGAAGGTGTCTGCTGGGGAGGGCGGGACCCCGCTGTCACCCACTGAGAGAAACGCAAAGCCCCCAGCGTGACTGTGGATTTTGCTGTTTCTTATCATGTCGTTCTGTCAATGTAAGTGTGTTACTAATGCATTCAAGTTTTAAAATGTTTCTCACCCTTATGGAATGTTTTCTCCTTAAGCTTTATTTCTTAAAGTCTGCTTTGTCTGATACTAATCTAGCCATGGGAGCTTTCTTTTGGTTAGTATTTACCTGGTATTTCAATTTTTTAAACGTCTTTCCTAAATGTGACATTTTACACCACAGACCTAGATTTTTTTTTTTTTTTTTAAAGATGACCGGCAAGGGGATCTTAACCCTTGACTTGGTGTTGTCAGCACCACGCTCAGCCAGTGAGCAAACCGGCCATCCCTATATGGGATCCGAACCCGTGGCCTTGGTGTTGTCAGCACCGCACTCTACCGAGTGAGCCACGGGGCCAGCCCAGACCTAGATTTTTTTGAAAATCAAATCAAATTTCTTTAACAAGTTATTCTACATTTCCCACGAATATTGGTAAGTTTGAGTTGATGTCTGCTTTGTTTTTCACTTGTCATTTGTATTTCTTCACTTTCCCCTTTCCTGTCTTCTGAATTAGTAAGTTTTCCCTATTCCCTTCTTTGCGTCTGCTGGTTTGCACGTTGTCCGTCCTGCTCCTGCTGTCTTAGTCAGGTCGTGCCTACTGCCTTGTCTCCCGCGTCCTCAGACTCGGGTCTGCCTTGCTGGACTCACCATCTCCTCACGGTCCCCCGTCAGTGGCTTCGTTTCTGTGGAATGGGTCTGTGTTCCGTCCGCGCTGCAGGGTGGCGCTTTGTCTTCTGGGTCGGCCGCCACCGTGCAGAGTCGCCGCTGGGTGGCTGACCCTGCTTTGTGCAGAGTCCGCCCGAATTGTGTGACCTCGGGTATTTCTGCATGTCCAGGTGTACGTTTCTTTTTCTTTATTTTATATTGGGTTACTTTGCTTCCCGAATATGAGGATTTACGTGTTTGATTGTTTGGGGGAACCCTTAGTCGTCATTCCCTGGTTCTCTGTTCTCTCCCTCTGAGCTCCGTTACCTGTTGTGAGATCTTCTACCTTGTCTCTCCTAGCTTTTCTTGTTTTATTATTTTAATTGGTCTCTCTACTTCTCCAAATGGTCTTTCAGATTATTCCATGATCCTTGGGGCTAATCAGTGTCTCAGCCATTCGTTGAGTTTTTAGTTTGAATGTTGTTTTTTATTTTTAGAAGTTAAATTTGGTTATCTTTTATAGCTGGCTGTTCCTCACTCATGGTGTCTTATATTTTAATTCCTTCTTTTGTATCTCTTGTGATTTTAGATGTACATATTTCAGTCGATTCCTTTGTTAATTCTTTCACCTGAATTCTCAGCGCTCAGTCATGCTGTCCGCCGGAGCCACTCCTGGAAAACTGCTCACCGTGACCCCTGCCGTTGGTGTCTCTGGTGGGCTTTCTCAGTGGTCCTTGGTGCCTGGGTCTGTCCCCCCTTAGCAGATGTCCTTTTGCATCTACTGGGCACTCTTGCGGGTCCCCTGCCACATGCCCTGTGCTCTGGTCACACCGAACTGTTGACCATCTGCAGTGTAACCAGGGACTGTCATGCTTTGTGATTTTGCTCATTCCTGGCTTTTCCTCTGCCAGGAATGCTCTTTTCTTCTCGGGTGCATTTGCTGTCTTCCTAGGGGCCCCATGCAGTGCCACGTCCTTCATAAAACCTTCCTTGATGCATTGGTGCAGGGTCAGGGATGCCTGCCACCGTTTGCCATGTGTCTTTCCATGACTCCTTGCGAGATGTGGGGTGACTGCTTGTACACCACTGGCTGGAGCTCTCAGGACAGGTTCAATTCAGAGACCAAGGACTCAGCACCTGCTGTGGATTCACTGAATAACTGTGTAAATGAAACAGACTTAATGGGGTTAGATTATAATTCACAAAGTGGCAAGCAGTTGATAAACAGATTTTAGGATAGTATGTGTAAAATGATGGAAGTAAAGTTATTTTTCTCGTGTTGAGGACAACACAGATTTGTGATTTCAGAAAGGTCGGCATTCCTAGATTAGGAATTAATGGATATCTGAGAAAGTCTCCAAAGAACAGCCCGGTGAGGTCCCTCCTGACGAGTCCGGCTCATGTGTGCTTTCTCTCGAAGGTGAGCATCTGTCTGGAGTGTAACAGCAGCAAGCTGCGGGGGCTGAAGCGGAAGTGGATCCGCTGCTCGGCCCAGGCCACCGTCCTGCACCTGAAGAAGTTCATCGCCAAAAAGCTCAACCTGTCGTCCTTCAACGAGGTAACGGCCGAACCGTAAGCACCACTGTGATGAGCCGTTTCTTATTGGTGAAAGCGATGCTTCTAAAATGCTTTGGGGGCCGGCCCGGTGGCGCACTGGATAGTGCGCCGCTTGGGAAGCGCGGCGGCGCTCCCGCCCGAGGGTTCGGATCCCACATACAGACCGGTTCCCGCTCGCTGGCTGAGCGAGGCGCGGGAGCAACACCGAGGCTTGCGATCCCGTTGCCGGTCCCCGGTCCGGTACGGGGGCAACACTGAGGGTTGCGATCCGTTGCCGGACACGGAAAAAATAAAATAAAATAAAATGCTTTGGGCTTTTCTCACAACTTGGGAGATTTTAATCAGAAAAACTCACTCTGCTTTGCCTGCCCCACCAGGTAACGTGACAGGAGGCAGCAAGTGAGGACTGAAAAGCCCAGAGACTGGGGACGCAGGGCCCACCGTTAGCAGAAAAGAGGATTGGGCGGGGTGGCCAGCGAGATCCTTTTAAAATAGGGCAGAGGTTTTCGTCGCAGAGGGGAATTCTGTTCTTTAACTTCAGTGGATGGGGATCGAGGGAAGCGGTGAACGAGTGGGTGGGCGGAAAGATCGGTGAGATGCGTTCAAGTTGTGCTCAGCACAGATGCTCCTCGACTCGCTTGCAGTGGGGCTGCATCCCGTGAACCCATTGTAAATCGAAAATGCATTTAATACTCCTCACCTACTGAGCCCACCTAAAACGCGCGCAGACACTTACCTGAGCCTGCAGTTGGTCAGCATCTAACGCAAAGCCTGTTTTATAATGAGGTGTTGAACATCTCATGTAATTTATTGAAAACTGCACTGAAAGTGAGAAACAGAACAGTTTTGAGGGAATGCAAGGTCTGGTCTCCAAGGAACATGTGCCACCTCCACAGCATCATGAAGTTGAAAATTGCAAGCCAGGACCCTCTGTACTGAGGATAAAGTAAAACCCATGACGTTCGTTGTGTGGGAGGGCTGGGGACTGGAGAGCAGCGTGGGCACGAGAGCTCGGGCAGTGGCAGTGGCCTTGCGCAGGGGTGCGCAGCTTGAGGTGCAGTTTTAGAAGATCTCTTGGGCTTTGTAGAAAACACTGTGGTTATAGAGATGGAGGCAGGAGAGGCCGGTGGCAGGCATCCCGGGGAGAAGGACCAGGTGGTGGCAGAGATGGTGGAAAAGTGCACAGACCTGGATGTGTTCTGGAGAGAGCTGTGGGTTGAACAGTGGCCTCAAAAGACAAACCCATACCTGACCCCAGAACCCATGAACATGACCTTATTTGGAAAAAGGATCTTTGCAGATGTAATTAAGTTAAAGATCTTGAGACAAGACCATCCTGCATATTCTGGATGGACCCTAAATCCTGTGACAAGAGTTCTCACAAGGAGGAGGCAGAGGAGGATCTGAGGCCCAGACGCGAGAGCATGAAGAAGAGACAGGACTGGAGGGGCAGCCAGGAGCCCAGGAACCCCGGACCACCACAGCCAGGAGAGGCCAGGAGGGACCCTGCCTGCTCTGCTCTGAGTCTGTCCCCCAAAACGTGTGGTTTGGAGACGTGATCCCAGTACGGCAGCGTTGGGAGGCAGGGCCTTCCAGGGGTGTTAGGTCGAGAGGGTTCTGTCCTCATCGGTGGATTAATGCCATTACTCAAAGGGCTTGCAGGGTGGGCTCACTCATTCCCGCCTCCAGAAGTGTGAGGAAGTAAACCTCTGTTCTCTATGCCTAGGACGCATGGGCTGCTGGAGGTGTGGCCGTCTGCAGGGCTCTGGTATAACACTCTCCTGAGCATTTGGAGGGATTTCAGGCTTCTGGGCCACAGACCAAGAGATTAAATTTCCTTTTGTTTTAAGCTGCCTTGTTTGTGGTAGTTTCGATGACAGTCTCTGGAGGCTAAAACAGAGAAAGTCAAAACAATGTGGTGGTGGGTTTGGGGGGGTTGTGGATGGGGGAAGAATAAGGAATGACTGCAGGTTGGAGCCCACCTCAGACAGAGGTTGGACACAGCTGAGCTGAGAGAAGGGAGAGAAGTGGTTCTGGCTGGGGACGTGGGACAGTGGGGTGCTTTGGTTCCCTGCGAGGGGGAGAGAAGCTCAAGACACCCTTGCAAGGGACGGGCATCAGTGAGAGAGGTTGGCCTTTCCCAGGAGCAGGGACATTTCCTGTGCAGAAACCACTAGAGGAAGGGATGTGAGGTTTTCCTGCACCAGGGGGTGACCAGCTCTTGAGTGCTCCAGATGGCAGATGGCAGCATGGGGTGAGTCTCAAGGTGCGTCTCAGAGCCCTGTGCCATCCCTGAGGTGCCCTACAGACGTGTGCCACCTTTGCAGATTCTGGGCAGCAGCGGGATGGAGGATTTGAGGGTCCCCGGGACTCACCACAGGATGAGGACACTATTGCCTTGCCAGGGTCAGCTGGGCCTGCATTCTGGGGCACACAGCCCCGGTGCAGAAGGCAGAGCGTGGACGTGAGCAGGCTCACGAGGGTGGAAAAGCCACTCATGTGGAAGGTTGCTGAGGACAGCATGGGCCACTGGAGGTGTGGCGCAAGGGGGCCTCAGATGCCGACTATCTCCTGCTGTCCTCAGAGTTGCTCTCCTGTGCCTCGGCCATTGCCCGGGCAGCTTGCTGCTGGGCTGACCATGCTTCTCATGGGCGGCCCCAAGGCCTGGCCACTCATGCAGATAGGGGGCCCTTCTCTCTCTGCCCCGAGGGAGAAGTTTGAAAGACTGTCCGACAGTGAGACACCAGTGCACACCTGTTAAAATGGCCAAAATTCAGAGTGCTGGTGGCACAAGATGCTGGCGTAGAGCCACAGGAGCTCCCGCTTCTGCTGCTGGGATGCGCGTGGAAGGCAGTTCGGTGGTTTCTGACAAAACTAAACAGTCTTTCTGTGTAATCCAGCAGATGTGCTCCCTGGCATTTATCCTGAGGAGCTGAAGACATGTCCACACAAAAACCTGCACACGTGTGTTTAAAGCAACCTTATTCATAATTGCCAGTTCGTGGAAGCAACCGAGATGCCCTTCAGTGGGTGAACAGATAGACAGGCCGTGGCCCATCCAGACAACGGGGTGTTGTTCAGAGCTAAGTAGAAACGTGCATCCAAGCCGTGAGAGCACACGGAGGACCGTGGGTCGGGCTGCTGAGTGAGAGGCCAGTCAGGAGGCTGCACAGCGCACGGTTCCTGGTGCAGGACATTCTGGAAAAGGCAGAACTGTGGAAACGCGAACAGTGAGGGGTGGCCAGGGTCAGGGGACGGAGGGATGTGTAGGTGAGCAAGAGGAATTTCAGGGCAGTGGCACTCGTCTGTGTGACACTGTCATGGTGGACACATGTCACTGGCCATCTATGCACACCCACAAAATGTCCAGCCCAGGAGTGGGCTCTGATGTTGACTGTGGGCTCTGGGCAATGGCCATGTGCTGATGTGGGTTCCTCAGCTGTAGCGCTCGAGGGTGTTCCAGTGGGGCGGCTGTGTGCGTGGGGGTCGGGGTGTGCGGGAACCCTGTACCTGCTGCTCGGTTTTGATGTGAACTTAAAACTGCTCTCAAAAAGTCTATTTAATTTTTTTTTTAAAAGACCAGGAAGCCTATTAAATTTTTTCCACTATTTTGAGAGGGACAAGCTTGACCAAGAGGTGGGCACTGCCAGGGGACAGGGTGATCTCTGGGTGGAAGCAGCCCCATGAGGGGTGGGAAGGTGGAGTGTGTGGGTGTGGGGCGGGGAATGTCTCAGGTGCTCCCAGGCTCCTACACTGTCCCAGGTAGGAAGCACCCAGTTCCGCAGCTGACAGCCGTTCACGATCCTTAGGCCCTTGGGGCTGGCAGCTCCCATGCAAACCATGTGTCCCTGTGTCTCAGCGGGTGCCATGACGGTGACCCTGGTGTGACCCAGGAGGGAGGAGCGTGGCGGGGACAGCACATGCGGCTGGGCACCCCCAACCACGTGTGGGGCAGTTGGACCTGCATCTCGGGCTTCGACTGGCCCTGCCTGTGTCTGCCACCCTATGAAGGAAGGCTGATCCTTCAACAGGCTTGTTTCTGACACGTCATAGCTCGTATGTTGCTCCAAGTGTCCTTGTTGGCATGAGGCAAGGATAAGTGAAAAAATGAGCCAAAGTGCATTTCCGTAGACGTTCATCGCTGCATGGTTGGCAGGGGTCAGTGCTTCAAAGGCACATCAGGTTTTGCTCTTTCAAACTGGCTGATTGGCAGCAGCGCCAGCATGGCCAGGGTTTGAGTGGTTGCGTGTCCATGCTGAGCACCGCGTCCGTGTGCCCTGACCGCAGCTTCTCTCCCACAGCTGGACATCTTATGCAACGAGGAGATCCTGGGCAAGGACCACACACTCAAGTTCGTGGTCGTCACGAGGTGGAGGTTCAAGGTGAGTCTCGCTGCTTCGTAGTGATGGGTTCCACATGATTTCCAGAGTCTGCTGCAAACGCAGCCCTTTCCTGTGTGTCTTTCATCTAAGAGGTTAAAGTGGTGATTCAGTCCCAGAGAGTGTTGTGAAACACAGGAATGGTCTTTCCAGAATTGCTGACCTCAGAGTTAGCTTGGCCCACGCAAGGCTGAGTCCCCAGGCAAGAGCTGCCAGCCGCCAGCCAGGCTCCCACGGGTGCCTGGTCTTCACACACCTCCCCGCCTGAGGTGCTGGAGGCCAGGCGCCTGCGGGACAGAGTGCTGGGCTCTGCAGTGGGTGGGGGGCAGTGACCGTGGCAGTCAGTGGACCCTCAGGCCTTTTGGCGCCTCTTTCTGAAGCGGGGACCTGATGTGGAATCCCATTTCCAGGGCTGGCCAGTGGTTGCTCCCCACTCCGGCGGGAGCTGCTGCCTGGGGAGAAGCGGGAGCCAGACAGCAGCCCCAGCAGGGGCCAGAGCCCCCGAGAGGCCGGGCCAGAGGGTTGGAGGGAGAAGAAGAGGGAGGAGCAGGTGGACTGGCAGGCGCCAGACTGGCAGCCGCGGGTGACCTGGGACCGAGGGGACGGGGCTGTTTCAGCCTCAGGCCCACCCGCCTCCACGTCGCCAGGACCGGGAGGTTTCAGGCACAGCATTGCGGACACTACCTTCCAGACGCGCTGGTGCCATCTGCCTCTGCCGCCGCCTCCCCACTGAGGGGTTCTGCGTGTTCTTTTGTCTTCCAGAAGGCGCCTCTGCTGCTGCACTACAGACCCAAGATGGACCTGCTGTGAGCGGCGCCGCGCAGCCCCGGCGGCCGCACAGGTGGCCCCTGGGTGTGGTGTGGACCAGATTTCTGAATAGAGATATTTATAACTTTTGTATGCGAGAATCCACACTCATCGAGACACTACCAGCACCGCGTTTACACAGGATGGAAACACTTCACAGCCCGCGCAGCGGCCCGGCGATCCTGCTGCGGTCCCCGTCAGCCCCGAACGTCGCCGCCTGCCGGGACAGCCGCCTCCGACGCGAGCCGCCCTTGCCTGCTGTCCAGGTCTTGAAATCTGAGTTCGTTTCAGTTCAGTTCATGGATTAGTTTCTTGATAAGCCTCAGAGATACGTGTATTTTATTGAATCCTTCCTAAGTTATTGAAAAAATGTCTTTTCCTGGTGAATGACGCTGTTTATGTTGCCTTTGGCTTCCTGAAGACTCAGCGCTGATAAAGTTTCATTTAAAAGTGCACCCAAAGGTTTCCATTCACACCGGCCTAGCCGTGCTGTTTAGCTTCCACCCTGTAGGACACGGGGACAGTGGCTGCCCTGGCTGTCCGCCGTGTGCCGCCGTCCCGGGCTGCGGGCGCAGTGGGGCGCCGTCCCTGCGGCACGTGGCAGGACCCCGCAGGGGCGCCGGGCCAGCTCCACGCTGCTCCGTGGGGGAGTCCTTGTTTCCACGGGTTACTCTTACTGAAAGGGACACAAATTGTCCCGTGCCGTCATTTGACGTGCCTTCCCGTCATCTTGCTGCAAGGGGCGGTGGTGTTTGTGAGGCGCTGGCGGCCTGTGGGAGGTCCGCTGCGGAGGCTTGGGGTCCCAGGAGGGCCCCCAGCGGGTCGCTGCCGTCACGCTGCGCTCACGCGGCCGCTGCTCTGGAGGCCGAGAGGGCCACCGGCGGCTGCTCTGGACGAGAGGCGTTTCCCTCACAGGAGCACGGCTGCGGCCCCCTCCTCCCCGGTGGCAGTATGTCTGCGGAAGGGAGACGAGGGCTTGGCCAGCGCGCTAGCGTCTGTCCCTCTGAGGTGGGGCCGCTGCCGTGACCTCTGCCTGGCCCTTCCGTTCTGTCCTTGTCGAGCTCTCGGGCCCCTCCCGGTCCTCTGTCCCTCCCGAGACGTCCCGGTGACCCCTGTGGTCGTCCCGTCTCTGGGGGTCCTAGGGGGTGACCAGCCACCACACAGGTTTTCCATGAAGCGTTTCACCTTAGTGACAAGACTCTTTCCTTGAATTTGTGTTGAAAGTTGTCATTGGGCTCATGGACATTCCGTTTTGTTTTTTCTGCTTCCTGCTTCGTAAATGCAAAGTGTCAGAAGCAGCCACTGACGAGACCCAGTCTTAGCGAGGAGGAGACAGTCACGTTGATTCAACCCAGGTGGTTTTAATGTCAGGCCTTTTTAGAACGTAAACACAAACACAAGTCCTTGGTCAGGAACGGGTCACACTCACCTCTCTACTGAAGCCCGCGAGCTCCCAGGACTGCTGAGCTGCTGCTCACAAGCCGCGGCTCCTGTCACCTTCAGAGCTGCCGGACGACGGCTGCCAGCAGACGCTGCCTGCGCTCAGTGGTGCCTGTCTACCTCAGAACACGCTGCCCAAGCGTCCCGCAAAGCCACCTGTCCCCACGGTGCAGTTCCCAGTAGCGTCAGAGCCCAGGTACTTTCCTGTGTGGTGAAACTAAAGAAGGATTAAACAGTTATATGAGTCTCCAAATTCAAAATGAATTCACAGTTCAGATTAAATTTAATTTTGCTGTAAGAATCTCATAATCTATATTTGTAACTTTGCAGCTATCTTTGAAACCACTTGACTTTGCTATGGTGCTAAGTTGACACATTTAAATACACAGAGAGGTGGGGCGAGTCGAAGCCAGTGTGAGCGTCTGCTGGGCCTGCCCGTTCTTCAGTAGTCCTGCTTTTGTAGTCGTCTTAACCTGATGAAACCTCAGCAGCAAAAGTACCTATTTTTCTAAAATCTCATCAGACTGTCTTCACTACAGGACAGTTTCCCTGGTGACCGGCCTCTCTGGTCTGACTTCGTAGCCTTACGTAGTTTAAAGACCTGCCGTCAGGTGGAAGCTCCCGGTGGGCTCGTTTAATTTCTGTTAAGCTCTCATGTAACATCAAAGGCTGACTATTATTTTTTCCAGCATGAAAGCCAGGATCAGTTAGTGATTGGATCCTAGTAAGGATTTTTAACAGATGGAGTTACTGTGAAGTGGTTTCCACAACTATTTATGCTGGTAGAACAAGTGCTGTTAAGTTACCTTAGTGCACCTTCCTCAGCAGCAGTGGGACTGGATACCCAGCGTAGGGTCTCACTAGATACAGTTTTCATGAAAATGGAAAATTCAGATAGAATATATAATATTGAATTTAAGATTTGGGGGGTTAAAAAAAGAAAACCTAACTTTATAAAATTATTTATTCTATTTTAAGCCTTCTGTCATATTTTCCCATCTGTTGGTCTCCGTGGTCCAGCTTTATTTACAGGCATATAAAATGAAATTGTGAGATGTTCTGCAAGCTTCTTTTACTTTGAGTAGCCATTAATTTGTATGTTTTTGTTTTATGTGGATGAAGAGCATTTCTTATGCTTTTGTGCAATAGGTTCCAACATGCATTTTACGAGACATCTGTTCAAATTGTAATGTAGCATCTGTTCTGCTAAATTGAGGAGCAGTATAGGTGGCATTTCAAATATGTACATTCAGCTATTTGGTTTTTCTTTTTTTGTTGTTATAAGAATGCTGTTATTGAGATTGTGTGCGTGTGTGTGTGGATACCTGTCAGCAATATTTAAAACTGAGTGTCCAGGCAGGTGGCCGGCAGTGATGTTGGTGGCACTGTCCTAGGTTGCCCCGAGGCCACCCTGTGGGGCCACCATGGTCCTGCCTGGGTTCTGATCCCTCAGACCCCGTGTGCCTGCAGCCAAGCTGCCCCGGGGGCTGGGACCCCACAGCCTCAGACAGTAAGTGGACGGTGCTACCCCACCAGCCCTGCCAACCATCAGACACTGGCCTTGGGTGCCACCCGTGGTGTTCCAGTCTTCGTACATTCAGTGGTGTTTTCCTGAAAGTACACGGACAGCATTTTACAATGATTTGACTAGGCAGCTGATGTCTACATTGTACATGAATACTGACTCTGCTGTCAAAACATTGAAAGTAAATTTAATGCAGATAGCTCAATCACAAAAAATCCAGTTTCTCTGTTTCCTCAGGAAATCGTTTAAGCTCCACCACATCACACGTGACCTTAACATGATAAACAAATGTATTTCTCTGCCTTGATATTTAAATAAACTAAGTAAATAAATGGGAATAAGTAGATTAGAAAACCACCCTTAAAATTATTCCATAATCTTTACAATACCGTGTCCCCGGCCAGGCAGGGAACAGGGTCGGCTTCCCGGGCCTCCTGTTTGGGGGACGTGCTGAGTGGCCGGAGCCGTCTTCAGCACTGTCAGGGGTGACTCAGTCGTAGCCGAGAGCATGTCTGAAGAATGGACTGAAGTTTGAGTGTCCCTGAGACGTGTGTGTAGCTGTAGTGCAAACATCTGTTCCAGTAACTTAACTGAACGTCAGAAACACATTTTTCCCCAAACGAAAGTGATGTAGGTTAAGGGACAGTAGATCAACCACTAAAGCCTTTATTATCAGCAAACGCAAACAGATGAAGGTTATCATGGTTTATGGAAGTGATAATGCAGATACATATTTTTGACTGTTTATTTTGAAAGTTTACATTTTTTATGCTTTGTGTTGGTGTGTAATTTTTGTACTATTGGTGACTAGTTTTTGTCTAAAATCTTTTTTGGAATATTGCTTAAATGTTTTGATTTTATGATAGTGAAGCTTGTATTCAGTGTTTTGCCAATTAATATTATATGCTTGTAATAAAAGCAAAAGAAAAACTTAACTAAAAACCTGGAAATGTATTATTTAAAATATTTGTAAGAGCATAAGATTGATTGTTCAGGTAATACAGTGTAATGGAAATGACACAGTTGTACAGACCACTTGGACAGCCTCACCTTCATTTAGGAGCATGCACATGCACATGCCACACACATGTGCACACATGCCACATGCACACATATGCGTGCATGCACCACACACATGTATATACCATGCACACAGCACACTCCACATGTGTGCATACCGCATGGCCATACACACACCACAGGCACACATGTATTCACTCACCACATGCACACACAGACCATGCGTCACACACGTGTGTACACACACACTCAGGTATGCACTCGTGTCTGCACTCAACCCTTGCTCACCCAGTCCGCACCCTCCCAGGATAACCACCTGCTTGCCGTGCCCCCTCAGCATCCATGGAACGTCGCCCTGGTTTCTGTCGTGTATTTTTCCTATAGGGAGGTGGAGGGCCGTGGCTCCTGGGCCGTGTGGTCATCGTGGAGAGAGCCCCGTCAGTTTTGTGCTGGGTCTGGCGTGATCAGAGCTGTGCAGTGGGTTTTCTTGGATTTCTGTGCAGATGATCACCTCAGCAGCAGACGCTGAAGCCTGCGTCCGATGCTTGTCCGCTCCTCTCTTTTGTGGTCTTCTCATGCTGCTGGCACATCTGGAAGAGTGTTAACAGTGACGCAAGCAAGGCTGTTCCTTTCTGATTTCAGTGGGGACATTTTACTGTCTTAAGTGTGATTGTTGTGGGGTTTTGATCAAAGCCCATATACCAAGTCAAAAAATTTCCTTCTGTTACAGTTTACTAACAATTTAAAACAGAAGTATGGATTAGTTTTTTTTAATTTTTTAAATTTTTTTAAGTTAAAATTTTTTAATTGCTCTGTTTTGGTTTGGTTTTGAAGTTTGAATGCATGTATAGGTTCATGTAACCACCACTACAGTCAGGATAGAATAGTTTCATCACCCCAGAAAACTCCTCAGGGCCAACCCATTACTGTCACACCCTCACCCCCCTAACCCCTGGCAACCACAAATTTTTAGCATTATACTTTTGTCTTTTCAAGAATGTCATATAAATGGAATTGTACATACTCGCATATACTATTCTGAAACCGGATTCCTTCACTCAGCGTGATACCTTGAGGTCCATCCCAGTTGCTGGATGTGTCAGTTTCCCCCTTTCGTATTGCTGGACAGCATTCCATGGCATGGATATGTCGCAGTCTGTCTCCCAGGTCACCTGGTGAGAGGCACTTGTGTTTCGGTTTTTGGTGATTGTAAGTAGGGCAGCTATGAATATTTGCGTACAGTTTTCATTTGGACTCAAGTTTTTGTTTCTCTAGAGTGAACACCCAAGAGTGGGGTCTCTGGGTTGTATGTAGTGTCAGTTCAACCCCACAGGGAAGTGCCACCCGTTCCCAGCGCGGCTGCGCTGTCCTGCGTTTCCAAGGGCACGGCGCCGGCGTCCAGTCCCTGCACACCGGTCAGCACTCGGCGTCAGACTCGCGTTCCCCTCCTGGCTGATGATGCTGAACGTCTTTTCCTGTGCTGATTTGTCGTCTTTATCTCATTCTTGGTGCAGAGTCTGTTCAAGAATTTTCCACTTTCTAATTGACTCATTTTTCTTACTATTGAGTTTTAAGAGTCCTTTAGATATTCTGGATACGAGTTTTTAATGGAGTAGGTGATTTGTGAAGGTTTTCTCCCAGTCTGTAGCTGATCTTTTCATTCTCTTGACATTGACTTTGGCAGATCAAAATTTTAAAATTTTGATGAAGTCCAATTTATTAATTTTTTTCTTTTATTTTTTTTTGTGGATTATGCTTTTGGTGTCATGATCTAAGAACTCTTTGCCAAGTGCCAGGTGACAAAGATATTTTTCTGTTTTCTTCCAAGCATGCCATAGCTTTATGTCTTACATTTGCATGTGATCCATTCTGAGTTCACTGGATGAGGTGTAGGGTGGGGTCCAGGCTCCGTTTATGCACGTGGGTGACCAGCTGTTCCAGCACCACTTGTTGAAGAGACCAGCCTTTCTCCCCTGGACTGCACCGTCGTCAAAGATCAAATGGCTGTATTTATGTGGGTCTGTTTCTGGACTCTGTTCTGATCATTAATCCGTCTGTCTGTCCTTTGCCAGTACAGTACCACACTGTCTTAGATGTTGGTGCTTTAGAATCAAGGACTGTGATTCATCCAACTTTGTCTTTTTTTTAAATATTGTTTTAGCAATATCCTTCCATATAAAGTTAGAATTATCTTACCTGTATTTTTAAAAAGTCCTTCTGGGATTTTTTAGAATTATGTTAATTCAATGAATCCCTTTGGGGGGGTATTTGGCATCTTGACTGTGTTGAGTCTTCAGTGGAGAAGGGATAGTCTCTTAAACAAATAGAACTGGAGCAACGGGGCATGTTATGTGTCCATATATGTAGGTCATCTTTGATTTTTTTTAGTCGGCATTTTGTAGTTTTTAGCATACGGATCCTGTACATGTTTTGTTAGATTTATACCTAAGTCTGTCAGTTCCCAATTTTTTATTGCTTGTACATAAGACTGATTTTTGTGAGTTATCCTGGGAACGTGTTAAACTTACTTATTACTTGCAGGAGGATGTATTAGTCCATTTTCTGTCACATATAATAGAATACCTGAAACTAGGTAATTTATAAAGGAACAAAATTTATTTCTTACAATTTTGCAGGGTAGGAAGTCCACGGTCCAGGGGACACCTCTGTTGAGGGCTGCCTTCTTGGTGGGGACTCTATCACATGGCAAGACGGCTGACCCGCTCACTCACTCTCCTTACAAAGCTGTCAGAACCACGCCCGTAGCACCCACTAAACCACCAGCCCAGCACTCCATGAACGAATCAGTCCATTGATGAGGGTGCAGCCCTCGAGATCCAGTCACCTCTCAGAGGCTCCACCTCTCCATTGCTGTGATTGGATTTCCCACACTCTTGACACTGTTACAATGGGGTCAAGTTTCCAATACATGGACTTTTGGGGGACACGTCTAACCCATAGCAAAGGGTTTTCATTGTTGTTATTGTTTTAAACTACTCTAGTATCTTCTGGACAGGCAATCACGTAGTCTGTGAATAGGGAAGTTTTATATCTCTCTTTTCAATCTATATGATTTTTATTTCCTTTTCTTTCCTTGTGCTGGCTGGGACTTCCAGTACAACACTGCATGGGTGGAGAGAGGGGACGTCTTTGCCTTGTTCCTGATCTTAGGGGAAGCATTCAGTATTTCAACATTTATTATTACATAATTATGCATGTGTTAAAATTCACAGACCGTACACTAAAAGGAAAAATCAATTTTAGTGTATGATAATTTTAAGTTTTTAAAAATAAAATACAAGGGCCGGCCCCTGGCTCACTCGGAAGAATGTGGTGCTGACAACACCAAGGCCACGGGTTTGAATCCCTATATAGGGATGGCCGGTTCGCTCACTTGGGAGAGCGTGGTGCTGACAACACCAAGTCAAGGGTTAAGATCCTCTTACCGGTCATCTTTTGGGAAAAAAAGAAAAAAGAAGTAAATAAATAAAAAGCCGGCCAACACCAAGGCCACGGGTTTGAATCCCTATATAGGGATGGCCGGTTCGCTCACTTGGGAGAGCGTGGTGCTGACAACACCAAGTCAAGGGTTAAGATCCTCTTACCGGTCATCTTTTGGGAAAAAAAGAAAAAAGAAGTAAATAAATAAAAATAAAAATAAAATACAACCACTATCAGCAATGAACAATTGGAATTTGAAATTTAAAACACAGTACCATTTACATTAGCACCAAAAAGAAATGAAATATGTAGATGTAAGTCTAGTAACATGCACATAAGGTCCATGTGAGAAAAGCTGCAAAACTCTGACGGGAGAAATCAAAGGAGAACTGAGTGCAGAGGAACCTCGTGCCTATGGGGAGGCAGACACTGTTGTCCGTTCTTCCCCACCTCGCCTGCAGCTTCAGAGCAGCTCCAGTGAAAGTCCCAGCAAGTTATTTTGTGAATATCAACAAACTGACCCTGATGTTTATACAGAAAGGAAAAGACCCAGAATAGTCAACACAGTATCAAGGAGGAACAAAGTTGGAGGACCAACTTCAAGACTCACTGTGAGCTGCACTAGTCGAGGCGGAGCGGCATTTGCGAGAGTGCACAAACACATCGATGGAGCAGAATAGAGACCAGACAGGGGCCCACACAGGCCGAGCCAGATGGTCTTTGACAAAGACCAAACATAATTCAGTGGAGAAGTTTTGTCTTTTAAACAAATGGAACTGGAGCAACTGGACATCCACATATGAAAGAAAAATCCAAACTAGACACAGATCTTACACCTGTCACAAAAATCAAGTCAAATGGATCATATTCCTAGATGTAAAACACAAAATATAAAATTCTTAGAATGTAACATAGGAGAAAATCTAGGTGGCCTTGGGCTTGGCAATGACTTCTACAACACCAAAAGCAGGATTCATGAAAGAAAAAAATTATAAGTTGGACTTCATGAAATTAAAGCTTCTGTAAAAGGCTCTGTTAAGAGAATGAGAAGACAAGCCACAGACTGGGACGGAAATATTTTCAAGTCACATATGTGACAGAGGACTGGTGTTCAGAATATACAAAGAACTTTTAAAACTCAACAGTAAGAAAACAGACAACCTAATTAAAAGATGGGCAAAATTTCTGAACAGACAGCTCTCTGGAGAAGATATAGAGATGGCAAATAAGCGTATGAGAAGATGTAAATGTCACATGTCATTAGGGAAGTGCAAACTAAAGGAACAATGAGACACCACCACACACCTGTCAGAGCGCTGCACGAGCACGTGCTGGTGAGGAGGCAGAGCCACAGGAGCTCTCGCTCACTGCTGGTGGGCGTGCAGCGTGGCGCAGCCACTTGGAGGACAGTGGGGAGTTTCTTACAAAATTGTACATTGTCCTACCATATGATCCAGCAGCCACACTCCTTGGCATATACC